ACTTCCCTCCCTGTAACCCCCGCTGCCCCGTCCTCGCTCTGTCTCTTTCTCAAAGGGTGCTGGGAAATTAGCAAGAGGATGCTTCACGTTTTGTCACAACTTTGGCAAAAAAAGATGAGGGAGGCCAACAGCAAATCACTGCACATTTACTAAAGAGGTTAAGAGGGCAACAAAATAATAATAATAATAATAATAATAATAATAATAATAATAGATTCTTGGAAAAAGTTTTTAATGTAAGATTCAAGGGGAAACACAAATGTGAAGAGGGAGGAGCAAAACGAAAGTCAACTTAAAGGTCAAAGTGAGCTCAGTAATGTAACAAAAAATAGGGTAAAAAGGGACTAAAAGCTTCAGAAGTTCACTGCATTCACTAAAGAAAAGGCGGGAAAACACAGACACACTTTCCAACTTCCATATCTCATGATAACGGCAATGAAAACTGGCAGCTGTGTTTAACCCCGTTTAGATGTTTGCATTTGAGTTTGTTTCTTTTAAAAACGAACTAAAACACAAAACCACTTTTTAAAATATCTTTAAATTTGTTTTCAGATTAATAAAATCACAAACTGCTAAATGGTAAGGTATGACCTCATCAAAGGTCATTTGACTATTGACACTACTGCTTGTATAGAATTGTAAATACTTTTTTGTGTACTTTCTAACACAATAGCGACATTAAACGACATACTACAGATGATTAAAAAAGTAACAATAAATAAAATTTTATAATAATAAATCCTAATGTAGACACTCTAGTATTACATATAGTACATTTAACAGAAATAAATATTTCAAACATCTCATCATTATGACACGTTCAGCTGCAGTTATGGGATATGGAAGTCAGGATTTTGAGAAAAAACATATTTTTTCCTGTCATGCTGTTTTCCTTTAGTGAATGCAGTGTGCTCCTGTAAAAAAAAAAGAAAAAATAGAGTTGAATATGTTGTCAACTTTTTCCACAGGACTGTAAAAGGGGTCCACGGCATGGACGTTTGGTCATGAGTAAACTGAAGGTGGAAACTGGACTCCAGGTGTTGGCAAACATCATGTTTCATCCAGCTTCGAAGCTTGGCGAAGAAAAAAAATCTCACATCCTTCATCAGATTTGAAGCACGTCAAACATGAGTCACAGTTACACGTGTTTGATGTGTGAGAATAATAGTTACATTAACTCACAGAAGATATTAATGCCATGCATGGTTAGTCTGTAATGTTAGAGATGAAGCTGATTGTGTTGTTATTACGGAGTGTGAAGTGTGCCAACAGAATAATAATTCATTGTTGTATATTTTTAACCTGTTTTGTTTGAACATATAAACCTGAGAGGAATCCTAAAATACATTTAATTAGAAGAAAATAATTTGACTTTCTTTCATTTAAATTGCATAATGGAATTATGGATAATAATGGACTAACTCAAATGCATTAATTATTGACTGATTATAAAGTCATTTACGAGCCAAACATACACTCACAGTTTTAAGCTGAAAATTTTGACATGTCACTTCTGCTGCTACCTTGCAACACTGCCTGCTGTTTGAAGCCCTCCACCATCCCAGCATATGCTCCTACAGGATATATACTTATCAGACACCCAGATCTAGATGCATTTGCTAATGCTACAGCCACACGAGGCAAAACAGTGTTTGGGGACCAATCAAAACGACTGTGACCATGTGCAACGAACTTGCAGCGGCTGCTTTGAAGATAAATCGAGGTCTGCAACAACTTTCACTGCAATCAATTGCTGCCTTCAAAGCAACTGCTGTTACAACTAAATTTCCCCTTGTGGGACAATTAAACGATTATTCTATTCTATTCTAACTTCAAAGCTTTCAATAAACTTACAATAAGATGAAGCGAGTTCAGTTAAGTTCATAAATTCCTCCATAAATAGCAACATAGTTGCCACAGGACAGCAGTTTAACTGCAGAATGGCCCCGGGCCTCGACAACCAAGGTGTATAATCGGAACAGTTGGCAACTAGTTAAGTTGTGTTCCCTGTTGCAAGGAGATGCAGACTGACATGTGTACATCTGTCTGCATTTATGAGTTAGAGGGTGATAATTTACAGTCAGTCTGGAGGCAGGTGAATTGTGCAATCTTGCAATCAAAAGCGGTCGACTTGCTAACTAATTGCAAACAGGCAGTGGAGGAGAAAGAATCCAATGTAAGGAAGGAGGTAAGCAAGAAAGTTGCTTCTCCTACTTTTACTCTAGTGTGACTGAGCCTAAATCCCAAACACTACCTGTGTGCTACAGGAAGGAGGGTTAGATGTTGGTTAGATGTCTGATAGATATTCTGTGGCGTCAGTTTTCTTGTTGTGCTCATTGTTTTGCGTCATTTCAGAGCTTTTCAGAGAAAATCCAGGTCGACGCCAACGTCTGGCTTAACCTTCTGCACTCTGTGTTCTGCTGTATTAATTATTGTGGTGGCACACTTCAGAGTCCATTTGCTACAAAGATGAGTAAGTCTTTAGCTAAAAGAAAACCATTAAATCTATTTTGCAGTGCATCGTATCCCCTCCCCCCAAAAAACACAACTTTTTTTATTAAGTCATTAAAAGTTGTGGGATCTTAAATTGACTCAGATTGACAGTAAAATACAAAATGTCAGTGTTTTTGTTCCTGCAATCCCACAGCAGTACCTCATGTGCCTTTAGCTTACTCATGATGGGACAATAAAAAATTGCTGGTTATTGTTTTGCTTCTGAAAGTCGTCATTTAGGAAAAGATATGAGGAGGGAGAGAGAAAGAAAAAAACAGTTATCTGTCTAAAACCCCAGCTACCTTCTCTTCCAGGCTGGAGTCTTTAAACATCAGTGAGAAAGGCTTGATATGCTCTCTTCTCAACTTATCGCCACTCCGTAAGTCGATGGCGCTCTCTATTCGCTTGTTAATTTCCTCAGGACCAGAGTGGACATGCAAAGCTTGTGCGAGATGGTTTGGAAGCAGATTTATCGAATTTCTCGTTAGGGCAGCCAGAGTCTAGAGGGAAAGCACATGCACATAGAATGAACCTGCTTGTCCCCCTTTTGGTTTCATTCAAGTTACAAATGAAAAAGAAGAACAGACACACAGTTACATTCAGTACATACACAAAAGAAAGTTAAGGAAGAGGAAGAAAAGGGAAGACCAAAATGCAACATCGGCTATCAGACCGACACTTCAGAGCAAGTCATGCATCTTCCATTCACCCCTGCAGCAGGTTCACTTTGCACTCGGGTTAGTGGTCACAAAGCTCTTAAAATAAGCACGCGTTATAACAAAGCTGTAACTCATGTGCGGGACGTGAAAACAGAATCAAAATGGCAAATCGTGAAATGAAGGACAGAAAACAAAGGTTTGGATACAAGCGGAGCAAATGCGCAACCATTTATTTCCACCTGTTATTATTATAACCTTCAAAACGTTCCAGAAACAAAGCTAAACTCCATTAAACCCTCACCCCAGACAACCCTGCAAGACATTAATATGCACTATTATAAAAGGTAATTGAACAGCGCAAGGCTCTTTCTTTACAAGGGTCTCCTCGGGTTTTAATTTACCACTTCATCGCTTCCCGTCTCACTCGGCCTTCCTCTAACTAAAATATATCCAAGGTCAAAAGCTGCCATAACTCTCTTTTTAAAGCAACCCTTTTCATCCTCTGCAAATCGAGTGTACTGGAATCATTACAGGCTTTCCCCCCAAAGGTCTGACTGTGAAAACGGCCAAATCTACAAATGTAGAAACGCCGAGGTCAGTACATCCGGATTTACTCTGCAGTTATTTTAATTATACTTTCATGAGGTCACCAGCATGCAGAT